ACACACACAGTGACACAGTGTGCACACGCAGTGTACACACACTGTGTGTACACAGTGTACACACACAGTGACACAGTGACACAACAACCGCCATTCGCCACTAAGTGGCGGTGACGTCACCACGACGCTTGTGCCAGGCACAGTGACACACACAGTGACACACACAGCGACACACAGTGACACACACAGTGACACACAGCGACACACAGTGACACAGTGTCACACACAGTGTATATACATAGTGTACACACACACAGTGTACACACACACACAGTGTATACACAATAATGTCCACGTTGTTGCTGAGCTCACACCAAAGGGAGGGAGCAATAGAAAATGAATCTAAATCAACTTAAACTCCAACTCTGTGACGTCACCACTCTGCATTACCTCATCGGCGTGACACGCCAGGGTGAGGTGTACCTCGCTAGTGACGTCATGTCACCAAGGTATTCGCCCCTCCCCGTCCACAGCTCTCTTGAGCGTGACGTCACCTCCGCTAGTGTCACTGCCGATATCGTTCCAGTGGCAATCCTTATTTGGGCAAAGCTACGCCCAGTGACTGGTGGCTCATTAACATAATGTATCCGTTAAAGCCGTCGCGAGATTATTGCGAGGGGTTTGGCGCCCACGCCCCCATCCCTCCACATATGGGCCGGCCTCATTAACATAATTTATTCATATTCTTAGTTTTTTCGGTAAAGTCACGTTGAAGAGAAACAACAAAATAACAAAATATATATAAAACAATAAAAAAATTCTCACGACGTTTCGACCATAACTCAAACGGTCATCATCAGGTGTGTCGGTTTGCATAAATGTATTTTGAAAACGGCATATTTATTTATATATATAAAAATAACGTTTGCGTCACGCGCAACGATTGGCTGTTTGCCAGGACTAGTCCATCTATTTTTTGAAAAGAGGAGGGGGGAGACGAAATTTGTTTTTATGTATGCTGTCTGAAAGCCACTGTAAGCGTGAACAATCAATCAAGAACTGAAATGATTTATCAAATCTTTCCAATGATTGCTAAGATAGAATCCATCTTCTCGGTTGAAATTGTCTCTGTGTTTGTATATGTGGATAGCCTCATGAACGAATCTCTCATGGAAGCCAGATGGCTTACAAAGAACCTCCGTCTTGGAAAAGTCAATGGCATGTGAGCCTACTGAATTAGAACAATGATCTGCTACGGCCGAGGTGTTGGTCCTACCGTGTTTAAGGTCTGCTTTATGTTCACGAATGCGGTCCGAGATATGGCGTTTGGTTTCTCCAATGTAACTACTACCACAGAGGCAACTTAGTTTGTAGACACCAGGGTATTGTATGTCCGGAATCACATCTTTTACAGACGGAACCAGATCACGGATTTTATGTAATGTGTTGAAACGGACCGCATTCGTGAACATAAAGCAGACCTTAAACACGGTAGGACCAACACCTCGGCCGTAGCAGATCATTGTTCTAATTCAGTAGGCTCACATGCCATTGACTTTTCCAAGACGGAGGTTCTTTGTAAGCCATCTGGCTTCCATGAGAGATTCGTTCATGAGGCTATCCACATATACAAACACAGAGACAATTTCAACCGAGAAGATGGATTCTATCTTAGCAATCATTGGAAAGATTTGATAAATCATTTCAGTTCTTGATTGATTGTTCACGCTTACAGTGGCTTTCAGACAGCATACATAAAAACAAATTTCGTCTCCCCCCTCCTCTTTTCAAAAAATAGATGGACTAGTCCTGGCAAACAGCCAATCGTTGCGCGTGAAGCAAACGTTATTTATATATATATAAATAAATAAATATGCCGTTTTCAAAATAAATTTATGCAAACCGACACACCTGATGATGACCGTTTGAGTTATGGTCGAAACGTCGTGAGAATTTTTTATTGTTTTATATATATTTTGTTATTTTGTTGTTTCTCTTCAACGTGACTTTACCGAAAAAACTAAGAATATGAATTACTGCAGTCACGAAAGCTTTAAATCAAAATTTAATCGCCTCTACGGGGAGGGTTTTCACATAACTTTAAGATCCTTCAACAAACTCCGGGATAAGAAAGCTCAGCTGATCGAGTCTCTCACCTTCCTGAAGAGATGCCGCGACTCTGGGGTAATACCAATCGCATTTACACTCACCTCTGCTACTGTAACTTCTTCTAATGCGAAACGAATTCTTTTCAAAACTAGCTTAGCTCTTATCTCAGAAAAAATCAGACTTATACGCACAGAACTAGATCAGTTAGACAAGACACTCTACAAATCACACTTATCATTGACGGCAATAATGTCCACATCGGATTGGGAACATGTAGACAATATGACTGCCTCTTCAGCTGCTACTATGTCGACCAAATGTAAGGAAAACCTGATTTCCAAATTTAACCTCCTCTTAAACAAAAGACCGGACCCACACACCAAAAAGTTAGACGTTAATAAAGTCGTAATTAATCGCAGTAACAGTTCTATTTCCGATGGTCTGAAATCCGTTTTAGCTAAAGGTCTAAACTTTGCAGTCACACCTAAACACATACCAGTTAATGATATAATTGCCCAAGTAGACGTTGCTCTCAGGGGCCTGGGTCACATCGCTGCAGACGTAGCAAGATCTGAAATCGCTGCAACCCTCAAAAACGCTAAGATGCCAGCTAGCAACCTCAGCAAAGATGAGCGTTTTGAATTATATAAATTAAAAAAGAGGAATGATATTGTAGTTCTCTCAGCTGACAAAGGCAATGCTACTGTTATCATGGATAAAATAGAATACAACAACAAAATTAAAGAATTACTCGACGATGGTAGTTATACAAAAATAAAAAGAGATCCCACCAACAGCCTCGTCACACAAACCAACAAAATAATTTCTGATTCAACCGCATTAATTGATCAATCTAAACAGTTTTCGTTGAAACCTTCTGCTGCCAGGCCACCAAGATTATACGGCTTACCAAAAATACATAAAGTTGATACACCTCTTCGTCCCATAGTCTCTACTATCAGCTCCCCCACCTACAAACTAGCTCGTTTTTTGTCTGAAATCCTGCGTCCTTTCACTGGAAAGACCACCTCTGCGGTACAAAATTCTACTCACCTGGTATCAACAATCAAGGGTATTTCCCTGTCCCCAGACGACCTGCTTGTCAGTTTTGATGTAGTTTCCTTATTCACCAAGGTTCCTGTACCTGACACCATTGCAATCATTGAAGACTTGGTTCATCAAGGACTAAACACTGAGGTACCCCCCCTGGTGAGACACTGTTTAACCAATACATACTTCACTTGGAATGGAACTTTCTACAAACAAACTGAGGGCACCCCAATGGGCTCCCCCCTTTCTCCAGTTATAGCTAACATTTTCATGGAGAAATTTGAGACTGACGCCATCCAGACTGCCACTCTGCGCCCAACCTTATGGAAGAGGTACGTGGATGACACTTTTGTCATCTGGCCACATGGCCGGCCTGCTCTAGACCAATTCTTCGACCACATCAATTCCATACACCCAGCCATCAGATTTACCATGGAAGTCGAAATAGATGGCAAGATACCTTTTTTGGATGTCCTAATTAAAAAGAGACCTGATGGTTCAATGAGCCACTCTGTCTACAGGAAAGCTACCCATACGGATGCTTATCTGAAACCGGATTCCCACCACCATCCATCACAGAAGAATTCTCTCATCAAGACTCTGTATCATAGAGCCCAATGCATATCCGACCAGGAACACATAAGCAGTGAACTCAAGCACGTACACCAAGCTCTTAGGGCTAATGGTTACTCCGACTATACAATCCGCAAAGCTATCACTCAAACCATGAAGAAGAACCCTCTTGAGGAGCCTTTCAAAACCATCACTTTACCCTACATTGCTGGGATCACAAAAAAGATCTCCAAAATCTTGAATAAACACAAGATCCAGGTCCGTTTCAACACATTACATAAAATCCGTGATCTGGTTCCGTCTGTAAAAGATGTGATTCCGGACATACAATACCCTGGTGTCTACAAACTAAGTTGCCTCTGTGGTAGTAGTTACATTGGAGAAACCAAACGCCATGTCTCGGACCGCATTCGTGAACATAAAGCAGACCTTAAACACGGTAGGACCAACACCTCGGCCGTAGCAGATCATTGTTCTAATTCAGTAGGCTCACATGCCATTGACTTTTCCAAGACGGAGGTTCTTTGTAAGCCATCTGGCTTCCATGAGAGATTCGTTCATGAGGCTATCCACATATACAAGCACAGAGACAATTTCAACCGAGAAGATGGATTCTATCTTAGCAATCATTGGAAAGATTTGATAAATCATTTCAGTTCTTGATTTATTGTTCACGCTTACAGTGGCTTTCAGACAGCATACATTATAAAAAATTTCGTCTCCCCCCTCCTCTTTTCAAAAAAAATAGATGGGCTAGTCCTGGGCAAACTGCCAATCGCTGCGCGTGACGCCAACGTTTTTTTAAATAAATAAATAAATGTGCCGTTTTTAAAATACATTTATGCAAACCGACACACCTGATGATGACCGTTTGAGTTATGGTCGAAACGTCGTGAGAATTTTGTATTGTTTTATATATATTTTGTTATTTTGTTGTTTCTCTTCAACGTGACTTTACCGAAAAAACTAAGAATATGAATTACTGCAGTCACGAAAGCTTTAAATCAAAATTTAATGTCACTTACCTCTTAATGTCGCCTAATGATGTCACTTCCCTGTTAATATCGCCTGATGATGTCACTTCCCTCTTAATATCGCCTGATGATGTCACTTCCCTCTTAATGTCGCCTGATGATGTCACTTCCCTCTTAATGTTGCCTACCGATGTCACTTCCCCTCTCAATGTCACCTGATGATGTCACTTCCGTCTAAATGTCGCCTGATGTCACTTCCTTCTTAATGTCGCCTGATGATGTCACTTCCTGCTTAATGTCACCTCATGATGTCACTTCCCTCTTAATGTCACCTGATGATGTCACTTCCCTCGCATTCAATGCAAACATGTCCAGGGCCCCGAGCCCCCCACCTCCGTCTGAAATGTCCAATGCGCCCATCGCAGAAAGCTGGTGCTACACACAGGTAACTTGTTCCCCTGTGGCCAATCACATTCAACGGGTCTCCATCTTGTGCCGGTCAAAGTATGCGCATGGCTAATGCATTTAACTTTTACACGTTTTTTGTTCGTCGCAAAGCGATCCATAATGGTTTCATAATTATGTGTAAGTGCAATTATGGATTATCATTGTACAGGCTATTTTTGTACATCAGATTGCAAAGTTCATAGAATTGCACTAACAACATTATACTAGATAATTGTCTCTGATTTTGACTGGTAGTGTATTTTTACAAAAGGGGCAGCAGTTTTTATCAAATAAAAAAAATAAAAAGGCCTTTTATTGCACACTCTAATCTATGACATGTTGAGACTTGTGTTAACGCTGTGCAGTAATGAACATGCAAGGTAATCCCAGAACACTAATAAGACCCTTTCATTTACAGTAATGTTTCTTTCCTTATAGACAGTTTGTGTTTTTGAGCACAATATTCAGATGTGTGGGTGAAATACTTCAGGGTTTGTCAATGGTCATGTATTTATGGTAATGAATGAGCTTTATAGCTGTTATGTGCTCGTGTATTTCAGGTTAAGGTTGTGAAGTTCTCTTATATGTGGACCATCAACAATTTCAGCTTCTGTCGTGAAGAAATGGGCCAAGTTCTCAAGAGTTCTACATTTTCAGCAGGCACCAATGATACATTGAAATGGTACAGTAAATTCTGGCTATTTTATGACATTAAAAAAAATCACAATGCTCACGGAGGTGCTTTACTAGAACAATTTTGCATAGTGCATGTTTTAGTTCATACTATATTGTTTTAGTAATGTAGTCTGCGCGTACATACACACCTAATATTAACGACCATGTCTTGTTCATATGTTCAATCAGGTGCCTACGCATAAACCCCGAGGGTCTTGACGAAGAGAGCTAAAGATTACCTATCGTTGTACTTGGTATTGGTCAGCTGTCCCAAGAGTGAAGTCTACGCCAAGTTCAAGATTTCTATTCTTAATGCCAAGGGAGAGGAAACCAAGGCTATGGGTGAAACTACTTGTATTAAAGTATCAATTCACGTCATATGTGTATTTGGTAACAGGATTATATCATAATCAGCCATTATTTATCGACTGCTTGAAACATTTTATAAACCTTACGAACACCATCCCTCATCCTTCACATGAGCTGATCTAATATCTCCTTGTCTACGTTTGACATCGTCTTGGGCATGTACTCTACTTTTCTTCCCATTCGACCACTAGTCTCATCCATCAACCATCCCATTTAGCGATGTGTCCTGTCCAAGCCCAATCTATATTTACAAAAGTGAATATGATGTCTCTAATTTGCCGTTTTGATTTGACCAACGTGTTCCTCTTTCAGTTTCTCACTGTAATTCTCAACATACTTCTCTCCACGCTTTGTGTACTTTGTAGTTTTGTTCCATGTGTCAGTGTTTCTATTTGTAATCAGTGTTTCATAGTAGGTAATATGCACTAGATTGGAATCTTTCATCCTGTAGCACATTGCAACTTTTCATTATCAAATTCATATTCCAAAAGTGCTCTTGATCCTGTTCCACCTTCAGAAGTTGCCATTATGCATATTTTTTCTGTTTTCCATGATATTGACCCTCCAATAATAATTTTATTTTGCTTAGTGTACCTGGACATTGTCATTCACGGACATTTCTTTTCCTAGTTTTACAATCTTCACCATGTGTTATTCCATTGTAATTTATCAAGTGACGGCTTTGTTTTTTCTGCTTGCACTCACTGTTTATTACAACTTCATTATTTTTGTTTGTATTCTCATCCATTTTTTTATTCATTTCTGGTGGTTTTACAAAGGTTGGCATTTTCATCCCATTTCACACTTCTTTACCTTGCTTTAGTGGTTCATATTGTTTGTTATATAATTACCTTATTACTTTCAGGATACTCTTTCAATGCGCGATAACTATTTTAAGTGATGACATCCATACATTTGCTGTGCTTTGCTAAGGCTATTAACATTTTTCTGAGAGTCTAAATCTATCTTTTTGTTTTAAACTTTCATGTTTTTTTTCTTATTATTTGCTTTGGTGTTGTCTTTGGTAATGTTAACATGTAACTCACGTCACACAACCATGTTTACAAAGACAAGCATTATTAATACACAAACACATTCACCTAATCCATATGAACTATATCTTCATACACTTAAATCCAGGTCTGATTTTCATCTACCTTGAAGTTAAAAGCTAAACTGAACTATTTTTATTTTACCAGGCAAGGCCCACTGAGTTACAGTGTGGGAAAAAAGTATTTGATGCCCTGCTGATTTTATACGTTTGCCCACTAACAAAGAAATGATCAGTCTATAATTTTCATGGTAGGTTTATTTGAACAGTAAGAGACAGAATAACAACAAAAAAATCCAGAAAAACGCATGTCAAAAATTGTATAAATTGATTGGCATTTTAATGAGGGAAATAAGTATTTGACTCCCTCTCAATCAGAAAGATTTCTGGCTCCCAGGTGTCTTTTATACAGGTAACGAGCTGAGATTAGGAGCACACTCTTAAAGGGAGTGCTCCTAATCTCAGCTTACCTGTATAACAGACACCTTTCCACAGAAGCAATCAATCAGATTCCAAACTCTCCACCATGGCCAAGACCAAAGAGCTCTCCAAGGATGGCAGGGACAAGATTGTAGACCTACACATGGCTGGAATGGGCTACAAGACCATTGCCAAGCAGCTTGGTGAGAAGGTGACAACAGTTGGTGCGATTATTCGCAAATGGAAGAAACACAAAAGAACTGTCAATCTCCCTCGGTCTGGGGCCCCATGCAAGATCTCACCTCGTGGGGTTGCAATGATCATGAGAACGGTGAGGAATCAGCCCAGAACTACACGGGAGGATCTTGTCAATGATCTCAAGGCAGCTGGGACCATAGTCACCAAGAAAACAATTGGTAACACACTACGCCGTGAAGGACTGAAATCCTGCAGCGCCCGCAAGGTCCCCCTGCAAAACAAAGTACATATACATGCCTGTCTGAAGCTTGCCAATGAACATCTGAGTGATTCAGAGGACAACTGGGTGAAAGTGTTGTGGTCAGATGAGACCAAAATGGACCTCTTTGGCATCAACTCAACTCGCCGTGTTTGGAGGAGGAGGAATGCTGCCTATGACCCCAAGAACACCATCCCCACTGTCAAACATGGAGGTGGAAACATTATGCTTTGGGGGTGTTTTTCTGCTAAGGGGACGGGACAACTTCACCGCATCAAAGGGAAAATGGACGGGGCCATGTACCGTCAAATCTTGGGTGAGAACCTCCTTCCCTCAGCCAGGGCATTGAAAATGGGTCATGTATGGGTATCCCAGCATGACAATAACCCAAAACACACGGCCAAGGCAACAAAGGAGTGGCTCAAGAAAAAGCACATTAAGGTCCTGGAGTGGCCTAGCCAGTCTCCAGACCTTAATCCCATAGAAAATATGTGGAGGGAGCTGAAGGTTCGAGTTGCCAAACGTCAGCCTCGAAACCTTAATGACTTGGAGAAGATCTGCAAAGAGGAGTGGGCCAAAATCCCTCCTGAGATGTGTGCAAACCAGGTGGCCAACTACAAGAAACTTCTGACCTCTGTGATTGCCAACAAGGGTTTTGCCACCAAGTACTAGGTCATGTTTTGCAGAGGGGTAAAATACTTATTTCCCTCATTAAAATGCAAATCAATTGATCACATTTTTGACATGCGTTTTTCTGGATTTTGTTGTTATTCTGTCTCTCACTGTTCAAATAAACCTATCATTAAAATGATAGACTGATCATTTCTTTGTCAGTGGGCAAACGTACAAAATCAGCAGGGGATCAAATACTTTTTTTTCCTCACTGTACATAGCTCTTTTTCAGAAGTGCCCTGGCCACAAACAATAGCCTAACGAGATGGCTTATTGTGTGGAAATGTATAGCAGCCAAATACTCTGGATTTTTATAAATATGGAGGGAAAAACCGGAAGATCTGGATAAAAATACATGCAACCACAAGGAGAACATGCAGATTCCAAATATACAGGCATCAGGGTTGAGATCGAACCCATGACCTATATACCAGGCGAGGTAGTTGACTGCCACCGTGGCGCAGGGCTTTAGAATACATTGCTGTCTTTACACTTTGAAAATAGAATAAAAAAAAAAATTCCCATTACATGAAATTACCACCGTTTATTGTAAGAACTGGTGAGTATTGTTTGAAATCTATTTTTTTACAGAGAGCCCGCGAGCATACCGCTTTGTCCAAGGAAAAGACTGGGGATTTAAAAAATTCATTCGAAGAGATTTTTTGCTTGATGAATCTAATAGCTTGCTTCCAGATAACAAACTGACACTCTTTGGTGAAGTAAGTATGACATGCTGCAGCTAATGTGTAATTTTCTATTTTAGTCATTACAATTGCACAGTTGGAGTCAATATTCTACTTAATTGAAGATTGTAATAATTACTTTCCCTGTTCCATACAAGGAAATTGTTAACATGAGTTTTACAAGCACGTTTTTCCTCCACTGGTGCTAGAGTTAACATAGCACAACAATTAAATAATCAAGCGTAATTTTTTTTAGGTTTTCTCCCTCTGGATAGTGTTTATATTTAAACCTTGACATTTTTATAAACTAGAATGTCAGGTATTACATAAAGTGTTTTGTTTAAATGTCGCCACATGAATTCCTTTTCCTATTCTCGGACATCAGCCAGTTTGATGTAAATGTTTCTTGTCCTTAGGGGGGGTCCTTTTAATCAGCCAGATTTATATTTTTTACCTTTAAAATACTTTACAAAATACAAGCATTTTTGATAATGAAAGGAAGCACATCAAGAAGGGCTGTTCACTTCCTCTGTTGTTGTGCAGAACCCATAATTAGGGGCCTCACTACCTGTTTAAACTGTTTATACAGTGTAAAATAACTTGACAAAAATATAGAATGAAAATTGATTAATATGAAAAACATTTCACGGACCTCTATTTTGGCATTATTCACAACACTTGTTCTGATATAGGATGTCTGTGCAGATTTGCTTGCTTGATTGAACCAAAGCCTACATCTTCATGCAAAATGTGTAGTTAAGTGAGGATTTGTAAAAAAAAATCATCAAATGCCTTCTCAAAGCTGGTTGATGTCTATGCAGGTTAGTGTGGTGCAGGATTCCGTGAACATTTCTGGTCAATCCAGCATGAGTACATTGATAGTGCCAGATTGCCGGCTGGCAGTTGACTTCGGGGAGATCTGGGACAATTCCCGCTTCACTGACTGCCTGCTTCGTGTTGGTGGCCAGGAGTTTAAAGCACACAAGGCCGTATTGGCAGGTCTGTGCCACAACAAGCAACACATGCGTCGTTTAGTGTACAATAGAACCATATAATTAATGATACTGTAATTAGTTTGGGGTAATCAACTACAGCCATTTCCTGTTTTACACTGAATTTTATTAACTAACACTGGCAAATGCTTACGTCAATTTGTAATGCTTTTTGTTAAAGGATACATCAGTAAATATGTGTAATGAATTCAACTGAGTCACAGACGCACTTCTTCAACCGACACACGGGGTACTACCCCGTAACACATGAACAACCTATGGTGGTGGACCACCAGGCTATCTACACTAATTACACGGGAATTAGCTACGACGGACCGGACCCTGGCCGGGGTCCGGGTCCACGTGTTGGTGACTCTTGTAGGACGTAGATTCTTCAGGATGAACAACAGCAGCCGGTCCCTCTCAGGGACCCGGCTTTTATCCTCTGTGGCGAGGGTGGCTCCGCCCTTGGCCACGACCACCTTCTGGAATCCTCTAGCGGGTTCCCGGCCCTGACACGTGACCACCCCTAGCCCCCACCTGGGGGCCCTGTGTACACTTTACCGGTCACGTGTCCTTCGTGGTCAAGTGCCATGGCCCTTGGTAACCCCATTCCCATGGCCAGCACTCTCACACCCTATCCTGTAGGGGTCGGCACCCCACGCAGAGCGTGGTGCCACTCAGCACTGTCAGACAGCGCTCACCATGCCCCTCTCGGGCCGGTACTGCACCCACATCCACGTGGTGCCCGCGATGTTAATACATCGCACGCCGTGCCTCTCTATAGCCGGCATTACACAGTGACATTCGCGATGTCACTACATATATAAATGTAATATTGTATTGTGTGAGAGATGAACATATTTAATTAGCCTGTTGCTAAAGTTTTTATTCCGTTTTTATTTACTTCACTATATCGTTGTTGTGCAGGAATTCATTTTTCACAATGCAGTTATGGTGTAGGTTTTGAGCCTCTAATTTGGACATTTATTTGCGTCCATGTTTGACAAATCTGTAATGGATATGCCATATGAAATAAAATATGGATCTGGATTTTACCTCTTTTGTATCTAGATTATTTGATCTCTAGATATAACATCTAAATGTGTCTGTACCACATTCTGGTGTTTTTCCAATTCACTGTACAGTAAAACCTTGAATTGCGAGTAACTTGGTCTGCAAGTGTTTTGCAAGACGAGCAAATTTTTTTAATAAATATTAATTTGATAAACGAGTGAGGTTTTGCAATACGAGTAGTACGTATACGCTTTGTCTGCCGAGCGTCACGTGATCACAACTGATATACGAGTGCTTTGATATACGAGTGCTTTGGATTACAAACACGTTTCCGGAACAAATTATTCTCGCAATCCAAGGTTTTACTCTATTTGTTAACAGTTGCTTTACCTTTTTCAGGTCGGTCACTTGTTTTTAATGCTATGTTTGAACATGAAATGGAAGAGAGCAAAAAGGTATCTTTAAATGCAATCTTAATACAGCACATTAATACTGTGATCATACATTTCCAAGGTGCATTTGTCACAATGGATCGGTTGATAAGTATCTCTTGAGAGTGCTGTCAAATGTTGAACTATTACCCTAGTAACTCTTTTGGCGCATTGCACATTTATTATCAAAAAGTATTCATTCCGAGGGAATGTTAGATTGTATTTTATAGCTATTTTTTATACAACATTTCACAGAAGGCCATTGCATGTGTGTCAAGAATGGATTTATTACGCGCAATAAATAGTCATCGGCAAGTTGAATACAACTTGAATGGAGCCACTTTACATGTGTTGTGTAGATATAAAGGATGTTTATTTAATTTAATGCTATATTTTCGTCTCCCAATATATGCCGAAGTTAATTTGAATATATTGTGTTGCTACCTTGCAGAATCGAGTGGAGATTAATGATGTGGAGCCTGACGTGTTCAAGGAAATGATGAGTTTTGTCTATACGGGAAGGGCTCCAAACCTGGAGAAGATGGCTGATGAGCTGCTGGCCGCTGCTGACAAGGTTACACGCTTAAAATATTAACATGAGATCGCACCACCTTGTGATGTATCGGTATGCAGTTGTAGGTCGCAAGTGAAATTAAAACAGCATTTAGGTATTTTCTAAAGCCCGTGTCACAAATAATATGAATAGCAAATGTATATGATGTAGACGTTCACATTAGTGCTTTCAGGTTTTGGAATTGATGTCCTGGGAGATGATTGAATTTTCAACAAAAAATATAAATTGTCATGCAATTTCACAATTGAATTGAATGTCAAACTGGTATTAGTCCATGCTAGAGGCTAGTACGTGTGCATTGAAGTGCATTCACATGCAGCATTTTTATCCTAAGTGCAACCATTTGGCTGTGTGTTCTTGTATTGAGGGTTTTTTGTTAATCACATTAACAATTGATACAATTAGTAATAAAATAAAGGGAAGTGTTTTAAAAGATTGTTTGATATGGCATGGCTGTATAGAAATAAATTGGAACAAATATACTTTTATTAAGGAAACGGATATCCTGCTGTTCCTGAAGATCTGCCAGATAATCAGTTAAGAGTCATTACTCTCCCTTCTGGAACATCATATTCAATAGTTCCTAAAGCGATTGTAATGAAATAAGAATACAAATCGTATAAAGTCGCATGTTCAAGCTTTGTTCATTAAAGTTTAATATTCTGCTAGAGTTGAAATATGGTGGCTTGCAGTTGCATTGTTTATCAGCTTAACAACCAAACTCTTTAAGCTCTTGGAAAACAACATCTCACCTCCTTTGTAATTTGCATGACTTTGTAACCAATATAATAAAGTTTAGGACAAGGACCCCTAATTATAGTAGAGATCAATAAATACATGACTTAAAACATAAATATGCTGAAAGGTTGATGCCATGTTTTAAGAAAATTCTCAAACATTTGACTGCTATATACTGCGTTTATAAAGTAGTTCATGGGGTGAGGGAATGTTATACAAGCGAAATAGGTAGAGAAAATAGTGTTCTTAATACTGAAATTGCACTTTGTTTTTACTTTTCTCAAGTATGCATTAGAGAGGTTGAAGGTGATGTGCGAGGAGGCACTATGCACAAACTTGTCGGTGGAAAATGTTGTAGAGACTTTGATCTTGGCCGATTTGCACAGTGCAGAGCAGTTGAAGGCCCGGGCCATTGACTTCATAATAAACAGGCAAGTCTAGTGAGAGTGTGACTGTCACTGAGCTGCGTAACATTGATGATGTTACCTGGCAATTTGCATTACAGTCCCTTTTAATGGAGACTAACCGTTTGCCCCAATCCTTATAGACACTGCTTATTAGGAGCTCGCTTAACCCTGACTTGTACTTGCAGTCATGCGATGGACGTAATGGAGACGGCGGGCTGGAAGTCCATGGTTCTGTCTCGCCCTCACCTGGTTGCGGATGCTTTCCGTGCCTTGGCCACGGCCCAGTCTCCACAGCTGGGACCTCCATGCAAGCGTCTCAAACAGACTTAACGGTGGCAGGCAAAGAACATCTATGACCAGGAAAACTTTGGCTGCACGGTGCGGTTATTTACCTGTGGCCTCCATGCAAACAACCGTGAAGACTTTGCATCAGACTACCAACTTTCCTCTGCTTTGAAAATAATGTTAATTTAAGCAAATATGTTTACTTTCACAAAAAGGTGGCCAAATTCACTTTACCATGTAATATAGTGTTACATCTATACATCTACAACTCTATAAACAAGTATATATGTAGAAAAAGTGGAAAACTACAACCTAATAAACACCACGACATATCCCAATTGAGAGAGTGTAAAATAAAACGTTCGATGTGATTGTCCCTAGGTGGCAGGACAATTTGGTTCAATTGTTTAGTTAAGCAAAAACAGAATGGTCTAAAACCCTGCAATGTCTACCTTAACGTGAAGGATGAGTATTCGTCCAGTGTCTGTGTACTCAAGGTTACAGATAGTGGTATAGGGAACAACCAGTTCTGAAAGATAAGAATGTGCCAAGCCATATAAGGCCTTAATTCAAGAGGTAAACTTTTCAGATTGATTTTTCATTGCACAGACAGCTTATGCATTGACTAGAACAGGAGTACTATGATTGCGCGAGTTTGAAGACTGACAAAGATAATATTGCAGTCGTGTATCCTGCGTATAACAAAGCATGGATGGAGTGCTCGGTGTAAGAAAAGGCAAGGCACAGCATCAATTTGGCCATGTTACGCAGTTGATAACATTTCACTTTTTTGCTCGTATGGGCTTTCATGTATGACCCAAAGGTTTTTGACTTACAACAAAAGTAAATCTTATGTCCATCAATTTAGTAGTTTGTATTCACGGAAACAAGATGTGCTGTTTTCTAAGTTTTGTTTCGTATTATATTGTAATGATTTGTTTTTATTATGAATTTCATCTATTACCAACTCGTAGCATCATGTCAACCCAGAGTTTTACGTGATTGGAAGGACCATAATTTTTGCATCAGCGCTGTTTTACGTAACCTCTCACTTAAAATTAAATTGTACATAAAATTGCATAAGCTTTGAAGGATTACACACATAGATTTGGAAGCACAGATATAATATGAAAGTACAACAAATGAGCAGTGTCATGGATTTGAGTCGATTTTAAGAATATTACAATCTAATGCAATGTGTTGGGATATGAACAAATGCAAACGACGAGAATGTTGGAGTTTTTTTTACGTGTTAAACGTACAAAACAAGTTGGATAATACATGCAAAATTAAGGATAGCCAGTGTTGTAAGCAGTCTATTTATTTTGTTATTTGTTTAATATTTTAGTTTCGTCCTTATATATATTTGATGCTAAAGATGTATATGGTACATTGCACTCTACCTATTCAATTAAAAACTGATTAGGTGATTCGGGGAAGTTATTTGTTGTCATGGTGAGAGTTAAAGCATTGAAATCTGATTGGGGTTCTAATCTGCAGCAAGTCTATGCTGTCATAAGTGAGTGTGAGTGCGGTGGACTAATTGACCCCTGAAATGTATCAGGCAGTTACCGATAATGTACTCTTCAAATTGTTGCCTTGTATGACTTCCGAAATTGAAAACACTTTGCGCCAAATGTAAATGTTTATTGGAAAATGGATATACTGTAACTGCCAAAAAATATATATAATTGCAGAAATAATAATATGGTCTTTGTAAAAAGTGTGTGTTTTGAAAAAGTGTGATTGCATGCAAGACAGTTTTGGGTTCTTCCCACGAGTTTTTTTGCATATTCAGAGATGAAAATATGTTAATTGGTTAAATTAAAAAATTTTGCTACAATTGTAATACAAAAATATAAACTGGAAGCTAGAAATGCGGTATAGTGCCCCAATGTTTGACCTTTTTATCTTTTTCCATTACAGATAATACTGTTTTGGATGTAATATAAATGTTTTGTAAGGCCCTTTTACAATGAATTGTCAGCAGATGATTGGAATTGCAAAATGAACCATTCTTGTATATTACGTGTTTTCTAAATTGATTTGCATTATAAATGGCAATATAAACCCTTTTCATGTGGTAAATATATTACCGTTATCTGATCTCTTCTAGAAATCAGTATTTGGATATAAGAAAAAAAGCTGCTTTTAGCTCTGCACCACTTATTCCACATTTTTTTCATTAAAATTGTTTTTGATGTTAATATTTTCATTCATGACATTTTGCAGTGTTACACTTTTTATTTTCGGTAAAGTCTCGTCGAAAGAAATTACTACACTTTACCCGAAAGAACCAAAGAGTCATTCCTGCAGTCACGAAAGCTTTGAATCTATTTTGCTGTGTATTTAAAAGTTGAAAAAACATGAATGTACCTGGAAATATGTCCAGTTTAAGTTGTCATGTTCTTTACTCTGGGAATGTTACAGATATGTGGATATGTCAAATTTCAATTGACACCCAACAACAACATTTTAACAAGTTGTATTTTGGAGCCTTGCCACTTTTATAGGCATGTTTACCATGTGTTGATAAACAGTTCACTGGAGAATTGTAATGTGTTCACTGTTCATCATTTACAGCGTTTTGTCAACCCACTGCTTAAACGAAGGCCTCACCACACCATGTCGGTCATTCTTCACCCACTGATGTTAACTGTGGCTGGGAATTGAACTGGTTGTTTCGTCAGTTTCCTAGTGCCATCACTCCATTCAATTACATCCTGTTTAATGTGTATAATTATAAGTGGCATTCTTACTCTTTGGTTCTATTCGGTAAAGTCACGTAGGTAAAAAAATTAAAACAACAAAAATCACGACGTTTCGGCCACAACACAAGCGGCCTTCATCAGGTGAAGGGACCAACCTGTCCAGCGGGCAGCGTTGGAGTGAAGAAAGCCAAGCGCTGGTCGCCTCCCTTTAAGCTGTGAGGGGGCAAACAGCAAACGCTCTGACAAAGGAAATTAGCATGAAACGCACCACTGACAAAGTTTGGAATTAGCACAAGATGATAATACACCACCCTGGGAGTTTGGAATACCACTATGCATGTTGTTGTTGCGTTGCAACAACAACATTCATAAATACAAACTGACAATTTCATCCTTGCAGTCACGAAAGCTTCAAATCTAGAAGTCGCATTCTATTTTTGGTGATCATACGTTCAGTATTTTCTGCTGAACTGAGTGTTGGATTTATTCATTTTAAATGTACTTTTTGCTTGGTTACATTTTGCTCAGGTAACAGCTCGCATTTGCGGTAACTGGTGCCATACATCAATGTCTTGTATGGCATTAGACACGTCTGTACGAACAGTGTTTTCATTAGCCTCCATTTATCAGTTAGGGGAACAACTAAGCTCGAAGGGGCAGTACGTGTCGTTCTGGTCACTCAACACGACGTGTACTGTTCACGGACCACTGAGAAAACGCGTTGCAACAACAACATGCATAAATACAAACTGACAATTTCAGCCAGTGCAGCAGCTTTATATAGCATGACCACATCGATTCAAGTTTCACAAACATCTTATTCGTATGTGCAGACGTGTAGCAACTACAATAATGTTTCTTTGAGGTGGTAGAGCCGGATGACTGCGTCAGCTGTAGCAGATTGTATCACTGTAATGCCTCCATTATGTTTGTGAATCGGGCATTGAATTGTTATATGTTCCATGGTTCTGGGTGAGCCCAGTCGCACACTGGAGAGTTTTTTCTATTTTCCTTTTTTGTGCATCGACCGGATGTTGTTTAGGGTAGCCCGTAAGCTTTACGGAAGATTGAAGCCAGGTACCTTTTACATCGGGTCTTTCATGAGGTGTTTGTGTCTTGTGGACTTCATTCGGATTTCCAAGAATCACGTTTGAATGTTGCCTTAAAGCTTTCGTGACTGCAGGAATTCACATTCTTGGGTCTTTCGGTAAAGTCACGTAGATAGGTTTAAATAAAATAACAAAAAAAACTACGACGTTTCGATCACAGCACAAGCAATCGTCATCAGGAGAGCAATCTTATTATCCCTGAGATCAGGGCTAGGCCAGCCCTGAACAAGATCCGTTTACCATTGGGAGAAGTGACAACAGCAGATGTCAGTGTGAAGGCGATCGGTATTACCTTAGTGTCGCGGCATCTCTTCAGAAATGTGAGCGACTTGATCGAGTCGACGGATCTTGTTCAGGGCTGGCCTAGCCCTGATCTCAGAGATAATAAGATTGCTCTCCTGATGACGATTGCTTGTGTTGTGATCGAAACGTTGCAGTTTTTTTTGTTATTTTTTGTTATTTTCTTTGAACCTATCTACGTGACTTTACCGAAAGACCCAAGAATATCACGTTTGAAGTTACATTGTTGAAGGTTAAGCGCGTGGGTCCAAAAAGGCTTGCGCGACTCGAGTGCTGGCGAGGGACTGTATTGAGATCCGAATGGATGGGGAGACGTTCGTTTTTCCACGATTTGCTGTGCTTCCTGGACAGTTGCAGTATTGAGGCAAATGGATGGGGAAGTGATGCGTGGCAACTCGAGAAGCCAGGATTTTGGATCCTGCTTTAAGGTTCAAGTGCCACCGCATTGCATTGTTCAATTGGACATCAACAAGCCGGGTGTGTGCCGAGCTATTTATGGTCCATGCCGTTGCACAGAATACACAAGGACAATGGCTTATACCATAGCACCGGTGATAAATAAGAATTATCAAACAAGAACATGGAACAAAAGCTGAAAAGTATTTAGGAAAAAAGCGTGGAGCGGTGCATGCTGAGAGTTACTCTGGGATGGAAAGAGGAATGCAGATGTACTGACATCGCAGACGTCGCTGTTTAATGCCGGCGCTAGAGGTGCACGGTGTGCGATGTACTCACATCGTGGACACCACGTATATAGTGACATCGTGGATGTCACTGTGTAATGCCGGCCCTAGAGAGGCACGGAGTGCGATGTGCTCACATCGCAGACACCACTTGTATGCGGGTGTCGTGCTGGCCCTAGAGGGGCTCTGTGAGCGCTGAGTCATAGCGCTGAGTGACACCACGCTCAGGTGTGCATTGCCGACTCCTACAGGATGGGATGTGAGAGTGTCAGCCATGGAATCGGGTTACTATAGGCCATGGCACTCTGGTTGACCCCGGAGAACACGTGACTGGTAAAGTCTACACAGGGTCCCCAAGTGGGGGGCTAGGGGTGGTCACGTGTCGGGGCGAGATCCTGCTTGGGGATTCTAGAAGGTGGTCGTGGCCAAGGGTGAGGCCAGCCACGACCACGGAGGATATAAGCTGGGTCCCCAGAGTTGCTGTTGTCATCCTGAAGATCTACATTCGACGTCCGTGAAGAGTCACCAACACGTGGACCTGGACCCAAGCTGGGGTTCTGTCCGTTGTAGCTACTCCCAGTGTAGTTAGTGTAGTTAGCCTGGTGGTCACGTAGCTAGTTACGGTGTAATTAGTGTAGTTAGCCTGGTGGTTACGTAGCTAGTTACGGTGTAATTAGTGTAGTTAGCCTGGTGGTGACGTAGCTAGTTACGGTGTAGTTAGTGTAGTTAGCCTGGTGGTCACGTAGCTAGTTACGGTGTAATTAGTGTAGTTAGCCTGGTGGTCACGTAGCTAGTTACAGTGTAATTAATGTAGTTAGCCTGGTGGTTACGTAGCTAGTTACAGTGTAATTAGTGTAGTTAGCCTGGTGGTGACGTAGCTAGTTACAGTGTAATTAGTGTAGTTAGCCTGGTTACGTAGCTAGTTACGGTGTAATTAGTGTAGTTAGCCTGGTGGTGACGTAGCTAGTTACGGTGTAATTAGTGTAGTTAGCCTGGTGGTTACGTAGTTAGTTACGGTGTAATTAGTGTAGTTAGCCTGGTGGTCACGTAGCTAGTTACAGTGTAATTAGTGTAGTTAGCCTGGTGGTCACGTAGCTAGTTACGGTGTAATTAGTGTAGTTAGCCTGGTGGTCACGTAGCTAGTTACGGTGTAATTAATGTAGTTAGCCTGGTGGTCAGGTAGCTAGTTACGGTGTAATTAGTGTAGTTAGCCTGGTGGTCACGTAGCTAGTTACGGTGTAATTAGTGTAGTTAGCCTGGTGGTGACGTAGCTAGTTACGGTGTAATTAGTGTAGTTAGCCTGGTGGTT